AGTTTAAACTCCAAAATTTATTTTATTATGGAACAACACTTGTACAAATTATTGTAGGACAAACACAACAAAAATTTCTCACTCATTTGAAGAACACTTAATTAATATTCTCTCACTAATTTCCTCCACTAAACATATACATACAGCTGTGTCTATCTCCACCTTCTCTCTAAATTTTCCTTGCTTCTCTCTCTCTCTCTCTCTCTCTTTTCTCACGCTAACTCTATCTCTCATTCATAGAATACAAAGCCCAGAACCCATATTTATAGCAGTGATATGTCGGTGGCTGATTCCTCTATATAATTCAAGTATGTTGGCGGTTATGGATTCTTCCAGGCCTGACTGCAATTTATTTTATCTTGAATTTTCGATGAGTGGCTGTGATGCGAACCCCGTAGCAATGGAAACTACGAAACCCACAACGAGATTGATGCGGAACCCAAGAACGCCAATACTAACCCGGTTTTGGATCTTGAACCCTAAGAATTGAACCAAGAAACCCTAGATTAGCGTTATTTAATATATGTTGAAAAGATATGTGCGTGTATTTATTGGCTATAAAGAGTTTCATAACTCGCTAAAGATCACCGTTAATCAAAGCAGAACTTACAGAAAACTAAGTGAAACTAAAATATTGGAACTGAAACAACGTTTAGAACATTAAATGCTGAGCTAAAGTAGAAAATAACAGTATAATGGCAGAGATTTTAAAAAATAATTATTCCATGGGTAGGCCATTCAGGGGAAATGGGTGGTGTTAGTAGCTGTAAATAAAGGAATTTTACCAGTATTCAGGGAGGGGGATTTCAGTATTGAATACTACTGTCTTAAAGACTAATGCATTGGAGAAATGATGGTTTTTGGTGAATCTGAAATGGCTGAGCCATTGTGACCTGACTCAACGCTGCCACTTTGCCTATGGAAACTCTTCTGTTACTGATGCTCATGCTACTGATTCTGCTATAATGATTTTCTTGTGACTGAAGTGATTTCTTGATGGCTTTGATTTTAGCCATGTTTGGAGGTGCCCAATTATTGAAAAATGGTCAAATTCATCATTTTACGTTGCTTTTAACTGCCAAAATGGATGGTCGACAAATGTTGCTAAATTTTCGTAAGGTTGAGGATGTCTAGAGCTAAAAAAATAAAAAATAAAAAAATAAAAATTTAGAGGGTGGATTAGCAGCAGATTGCAATGGCCGGAGACAAAAAAGGTGCCAATTTTACGAAAAATAATGGTCGTACAAGACTGCTTTTTGCTTTTATTTTGAAAACTTAAGGGCTGAACAATTAATTCAAAACTGAAAAACAAAAGAATGCTACTTGTTATATAAAAAACTTTGCTGTCGCACCTTGAAATATAAGTTCGTGAATAGATTATAAGGTTTTAGCATAATTTATTTTAAAAGTCGCTCTTATATCCCCATATTTTATAAATTAAAAATACTTTTCAAAAGCAATTCAGAAGGCAGTCACGTTCTCAATCAAAAAGAAAAAGAAAACTTGATCAATATAAATATCTTCTCGCAACTTGTGTGACGTGTGAGTTATGTGTTGCATGTTTGAATAAGAAATCAATGTATAATTAAAATATAAGTCAATCTGACCCTACTCGAGTTTTGAAAGTTCAGATGGGCAGATAACAAACATTCTCCATTGTACATTGTCTAAAGAAGCAATTGTTAGGCTTTGAGAATTAGCCTCGGGTTGCGAACATTTTAGGGTATTAATCAGTATAAATATTCTTTAAGAAAATGATGAATATTATAAATATTCCTTGTCAAATTCATCATTTTACGTTGCTTTAACTACCAAAATGGATGTCGACAAGTGTTGCCAGATTTTTGAAAGGTTAAGATGTCTAGAGCTAAAAAAGATTTGAGGGTGGATTAGCAACAGATTGCAACGGCCAGAGACAACAAAGTGCCAATTTTATAAAAAATAATGGTCGTACAAGACTGCTTTTTGCTTTTATTTTGAAAAATTAGAGGCTGAATGATTAATTCAAAACTGAAAAACAAAAAAATTCTATTTGTTACATAAAAATAAAGACGATTGCTTCTCTTGAAATATTAGTTGGTGAATTGATCAGAATGTTTTAGCATAATTTATATAAAAAGCTGCCCTTATGTCCCCATATTTTATAAATTTAAAATACTTTTCAAAACCAATTCAGAAGGCAATCGCATTTTCAATGAAGAAGAAGAAGAAAACTTGATCAATATTTATATCCATGCAAAACTTGTGCGATGTGCGAGTTGTGTGTTTCGTGCTTGAATAAGAGATCAATGTATAATTAAAATTTAAGTCAATCCCACCTTACTCGAGTTCGGAAAGTTAAAATGAGCAGATAACAAACATTCTCCATTGTACATGGTCTAAAATGGCGACTGTTAGGCTTTGAGAATTAGCCTCAGGGTGCAAACATTTTAGAGTATTAATGACAATAAATATTCATTTTCAAAAAAAATGATGATTATTAAATAACACATGCCGAAAAGATACGTGCTTGTATTTATTGGCTATAAAGAGCTTCAAAACTTGTTAGAGATCACCATTAATTAAAGCAAAACTTTCAGAAATATAAATGAAACTAAAATGCGGGAATTGAAACAACGTTTAGAACATAAATCCAGAGATAAAGTAGAAAAGTACAGTATAATGGCAGAGATCTTAAAAAATAATTGTTTCATGGATAGGCCATTCAGGGGAAAAGGGTGGCGTTAATAACTGTAAATCAAGGAATTGTTCCCAGTATTCGAGGAGTGGGATTTCGGTATTGAATACTACTGTCTCGGAGACTAATGTATTGGAGAAATGATGGTTTTTGGTGAATCTGAAGTGGTTGTGCCATCGTGACCTGACTCAACACTACCACTTCCGCCTACGGAAACACTGCTATTGTTGATGCTAATGCTACTGATTCTGCATATGATGATTTTCTTGTGTTTAGAGGTGCCCAATTATTGAAAGATGGTCAAATTCATCAATTTACGTTGCTTTGACTGCCAATATGGATGGTCGACAAGTGTTGCTAAATTTTCAAAAGGTTGAGGTTGTCTAGAGCTAAGAAAAAGTTAGAATTAATAAAAATGGGCAATCCTGAGCCAAATCCTGATTTCCCAAAGCAAAGGTTCGAAAGAAAAAAGGATAGGACCTCAGAAATGTAAGAAAATGTGGAAAGTAGGAAGAAATAAATGTAGAAATAGGGTGGATTAGCAACAGATTGCAACGGCAGGAGAAAAAAAGACTGCTTTCTGTCTTGAAAAATAAGTTTGTGAATAGACCAAAAAGTTTTAGCAAACTTTATTTTAAAAGTCGCCCTTATGTCCCCATTTTTATTAATTTAAAATGCATTTCAAAATCAATTCCAAAGGCACTCACGTTCTCTATGAAGAAGAAAAAAGGAAATTTGATCAATATTAGTATCCACGCACAACTAAATGATTCTAATAAAGCAAAATATTAATGTGCTGCATGCGACTTGCGTGTTGCATGGTTGAATAAGAGTTCAATGTATAATTAAAATATAAGTCAATCCAACCTTACTCGAGTCTGGTAAGTTAAAATGAGCATGTACATGGTCTAAAAATATAATTGTTAGGCATTGAGAACTAGCCTTGGGGTGCGAACATTTTAGAGTATTAATGAGTATAAATATTCCTTTTTAAAAAAAATGATGAATATTATATAACATGTGACGAAAATATACGTGCATGTATTTATTGGCTATAAAGTGTTTCAAAACTTGGTAGAGCAAGGACAGACCCACATGGGGTCAGTTGACCTCACAGAATTTTCGGATTATTATTATTTTTTTTAAGTTATCCAAAGATTCCAAATGTCCCAAGTCCAATTAAACATAAGCCCATTTGCTGACTTGCACTCAAGCCCATTTATTTAGCTTAAACTCCCAATCCATTCCTATTTCCTCCATGTAATTCGTGAACCGGTAAATGCATTTCTAACTCATCAACAACCCTAAAATTTAAATCCCATGCAGCCACGCTGATGATGCTACAGAGAGAATTGTCTATGGTGATTCGCTGATTCATCATTCATATTTCCGAATTTTTCTCTTCTAGGTAATAAATCAACACCCTCTTCTTGTGCAAATTTTGTGATTTGGTTAGTGGTATGTTCTCGTGACCTCGTCTACTTAAAGTCTTAAAGGACTGTTTGATTGAATGCTTACAAAACGATTCAACCTAATAAACTTAAAGATAGTGGAATTCTGGTGATTGGTTCATCACTTCGTCTTCAGGTCTTCTTGTTAGCTATGGCAAAAAAATTGGGAATTTTGAATAAGAGTTCATCATAGATCCGAATTCTTTGGTTGGTTCAGAATCTGCATTTTATTGGACGGTATATTAATACAGTAGTACGGTATATTACATTATTACTGGACGGTATAGATCCAAATTCTTTGGTTTGTATGTGTTTGAATTATTGGAATTTTAATATAGTAGTACGGTATATTAATTGGCTACATTGTAATTTGTCATTATCAATATTCGAGTTTGATTTTTCTTAAAAACTAATTTAAATGTTTTTTACGTTTAGAGTTTAGCTCTTGTGACTTTTCCAGAAACCTGGTCATTGATATGTAATCAGCAGTGTATTGGTAGGGGATTTGGGAGTAATTCATTGCAACTTAGTTGAGAAAGTTAGATAATTAATTTGATTAGTTTATTATTCTCTGTAGTTCGGTTTGAAGAGGACAAATTCAGAAAGGGGTCTTTATTTATTGAAGTGACTAGTGGGTGAAGTGAAATAATTTCTTTTTCTCAATGTCTAGGATCGAAGAGTGTGATACAATAATGTTCATAGTTATTCTTATAATCTTATTCATATTTAAATTAAGTTGGTTAAATTATGAAAATATTTTAGTTTTAACTTCCACTTGTGACTTGTACATTTTAGTTGGCAGCCGGCAGCCTGATTGTGTAGTGGAGATATAAGCTGCTTGATGAAAAGAGATTATTATCAATTTCAAGTTTAAACATCATTCTCAATTTCAATTTTCAAGTAATGGCTTTCTCTAACTTGATGAAATAGACTTGTTCATGAAATTAATTGTTGGGTATTATGATTTATGAATTTCGTGTTGCCCTTTGATGAAAAACAAAATATGACATTAATAAATTTGTGTATTGAATTTGATTTTGTAACAGCTATGGAGAAATATTTTAAATGAAAATCCGTATCTTCAAGTGGAGAGCAAAATGTGATTGAAGCGAGTATTCAACATAAAATAGATGACCGAGAAGAAACAAATATTGGGGGTAAAATAGATGTTCAAGACAAATTGATTTAGCACAACTTCCTTCAGATCCCGGATTAAGAACTCCAATTGTGAATTACAATGTTAATGTCCGGGATGAAATTCGAAGAGCATATGTACAAAGGGGTCCATGTCAGCCTCGAAATCATAAATATCCACAAAAAGAATTTGGAGATTTGTCCTTAAGGCGATTTAAATCTTCCTGGTTTAATGACTTCCTTGATTGGTTGGAACATAGCATAGAAAAAGATGCTCTATTTTGTTTTTATTGTTATTTTTTCAAATCAAATAGTGAAGAACATGGTGGTGGTGATGCTTTTGTTGATGGAGGGTTTTCAAATTGGAAAAAGAAAAGACAGCTTCGAACTCATGTAGGAAAAAGTGGCAGTGTACATAATCAATTGCGGATTAAGTAGGAGGCTTTTGTGAATCAAAAAAAAATATTGATAGTGTTCTCTTTAAAAAGTCGAAGAGAACAAAAGACGAGTACCGAGTTCGTTTGAATGCATCAATTGATTGTGTTCGATTACTTTTACAGCAAGGGCTTTCATTTCGTGGAAACGATGAATCTGAAGATTCAAGAAATCATGGGAATTTTCTTGAACTGTTGAAGTGGTTATGTGATCATAATAATGAGACTAAGGCTTCTTGTTTGAAAAATGCTCCCGAAAATCTTCAATTGACATCACCTAGTATTCAAAAGGATATTGTGAGTGCTATTGCATTTGAAACACTTGATATTATTATGAAAGATATTGGTGATGGGTTGTTTTCTATTCTTGTTGATGAATCTTGTGATGTTTCAGTGAAGGAGCAGATGTCAATTGTTTTACGTTATGTGAATAAGAAAGGAAAAGTAATGGAACGTTTTATCGGTGTTGAACATGTGTCTAGTACTACAGCTCTCTCACTTAAGGATGCCATTGAACACTTATTCTCTATATTCAACTTAAGTATATCTAGTTTAAGAGGTCAAGGCTACGATGGGGAAAATAATATATGAGGTGAGTATAATGGTCTTAAAGCACTTATTTTGAAACAGAATCCGTGTGGTTTCTATATTCATTGCTTTGCTCATCAGCTGCAACTAGCTCTTCTAATTGTGGCAAAGAAACATGCAGAGATTGAAATGTTCTTTACACTAGTAAATAAATTGGTGAATGTTGTTAGGGGATTGACTAAGCGGTGTGATCTTCTTCGAGAGAAGAAGAGGCTTGAAGTTGTTGAATCATTGAATTTTGGTGAAATCTCAAGTGGAAAGTGACTTAATCAAGAAACTAATTTTTAGCAACCCGGTGATCCTCGTTAGGACTCTCACTATAGTTCTTTATTTAGCTTGATTCTCATGTTTTCTTCTACAGTTGATGTCATTGAGATGATTGCCACTGATGCAACTAGTTTTGGACATAGAGGTAAAGCTCGTATTCTATTAGGATTTATATTGACATTTGATTTTGTATTCAGTCTGCATCTCATGAAATGGGTATTGGGTATTTCAGATGAGTTGTCAAAATCATTATAAAGAAGAGATCAAGACATTGTTAATGCTATGAAATTGGTGAAAATATGTAAAGAACGACTCCAAACAACGAGGGACAATGAATGAGACTCATTTTTACAAATGGTTTCTTGTTTTTGTGAAAGGCACAACATTGATGTTCCCAACATGGATGATATGTTTATACCTCTAGGTCCTTCACGGGGTAAAACTCAAGGAATAACAAATCTACATCATTTTCGTGTGGATTTCTTCTATGCTATCATCGATCTGCAAATTCAAGAGTTGAATGATCGTTTCTCTGAGGTATTTAGCAACTTACTCCTTTGTATTGCATGCTTATGTTTGGAAAATTCATTTTTTGCTTTCAACAAGGACAAGTTAGTTCAATTGTATGAGTATTATCCCAAATTAAATCAGTAGAGATCTTGACACTTGAAGAGCAACTTCAAACATATATTATTGATATGCGCACTCATAAAGATTTTGAAGGGTTACGAAGCCTTAATGATCTTGTGAAAAAGTTGGGATTGACCAAAAAAATTGATATATACCCATTGGTTTACAGGCTTATAACATTGTTGTTAATTCTTCTAGTTGCTACTGCTACGGTAGAGAGAGTATTTTCTGCAATAAAGATTGTCAAGAATCGACTACGTAATCAGATGGGAGATTAATGGCTAAATGACAGTTTAGTTCCATATATTGAGAATGCTGTATTCGCTAATATTAATAATGATGTAATTATACGACGTTTTCAGAGTATGAAAACGCATAGAGTACAGTTGTAGTAGTGATTAATGATATGTTGTTTTAAAAAAAATTGTATTTCAATTTTTGACCCCACAATGCCGAATGTCTGGCTCCGTCCCTACGTTAGAGATAACCATAAATTAAAGCAAAACCTTTCAGAAAAATAAGTGAAACTAAAATACAGGAATTGAAACAACGTTTAGAACAGTAAATCCAGAGCTAAAGTAGAAAGGATAGTATAATGGAAGAGATCTTGAAAAATAATTACTTCATGGAGAGGCCATTCAGGGGAAAGGGTGGTGTTATTCGCTGTAAATCAAGGAATTGTTCCCAGTCTTGAGGAAGTGGAATTTTAGTATTGAATACTACTGACTTTGAGAAAAATGCATTGGAGAAATGATGGTTTTTTGGTGAATCTAAAGTAGCTGAGCCACCTTGACCTGACTTAATGCCGCCGCTTCCACCTATGGAAACACTGCTATTATGGATGCTAATGCTGTGGCGGCTACTACTCCTACTACTACTCTGACAATGATTTCCTGGTGGCTGAATTGATTTCGCGATGGTTATGATTGCAGCCATGTTCGGAGGTGCTCAATTCTTGAAAGAAGGGTCAAATTCATCATTTTACAGTGGTTTGACTGCCAAAATGGAGAGAGGACAAGTTTTGCTAAATTTTCGGAAGGTTGAGGTTTTCTAGTGCTGAAAAAGAAAACTTGATCAATATAGACATCAATGCAAAACTGAATGATTCTAAGAAAGCAAAATATTAATGTACGACGTGCGAGTCGCGTGTTGCATGCATGAATAAGAGATTAATGTATGATTAAAATATATCTCCATCTGACCTTAATCGAGTATGGAAAGTTAAAATGAGCAGATGACAAATATTCTCCATTGTAAATGGTCTAAAAGGTGAATGTTAGGGTTTGAGAATTATCCTTGGGGTGAGAACATTTTAGACTATTAAGGAGTATAAATATTCCTTTTACAAAAAATGACAATTTATATAACAGAAGTTGAAGAGATACGTGCATGTATTTATTGGCTATAAAAAGCTTCAAAACTCGGTAGATATCACCATTAATTAAAGCAGAACATTCACAAAAATAAATGCAACTAAAATGCAAGAACCGAAACAACGTTTAGAACATTAATTGTAGAGCTAAAGTAGAAAAGGACAGTATATTAGTAGAGATCTTAAAAAATAATTATCTCATGGAGAGGCCATTCAGGGAAAAGGGGTGGTGTTAATGGCTGTAAACAAAGGAATGGTTCCCAGTATTCAGGGAGTGAGATTTCGGTGTTGAATACTACTATCTTAGAGACTAATGAATTGGAGAAGTGATGGTTTTTTGGTGACTCTAAAGTGGCTAAGCCACCATGACCTGAATTAGCGCCAGCCACTTCCGCATATGGAAACGTTGTTGTTGTTGATGCTAATGCTACTGCTACTACTGATGATGATTTCCCGGTGGCTGAATTGATTTCTCGATGCCATGTTTTGAGATGCCCAATTACTGATAGAATGGTCAAATTCATCATTTAAATTGGTTAACTGCCAAAATGGAGGGAGGACATGTTTTAGCAAAATTTTCAGAAGGATGAGGATGTCTAGTGCACAAAAACAAAAACAAAAACAAAAAAGTAGAGGGTTAATTGGCAATAGATTGCAAAGGCCTAAGACAAAAAAGTACCAATTTTACAAAAAAAAAAAATAATGGTTGTAAAAGATTTTTTTTTTTTTTTTTTATAAAAGTCGTTTTGAAAAATTAAATTAATTCAAAACTGAAAAACACAAGAATGCTAATAGTTATCTAAAAAAGTTGCTATTATGTCTTAAAAAATAAGTTCTGGATAGATGAAAAAGTTTCTTTTTTAGCATTATTTATTTAAAAAGTCTCCCTTATGTCCTCATATTTTATTAATTAAAATACAATTCAAATCCAATTCAAAAGGCAGTAACGTTCTCAGTGAAGAAGAAAATGAAAACTTGATCAATATAAATATCCCTACACAACTTAAAAATAAAGCAAAATATTAATGTGTGGCGTGTGAGTTTCGTTTTGCGTGCATGAATAAGAGATCAATGTAAGATTAAAATATAAGTCCATCTGAACTTAATGAAGTATATATACAATGTTAAAATAAGCAGATAACAAATATTTTCCAGTGTACATGGTCTAAAAAGGCGATTGTTGGGCTTTGAGAATTAGCCTATGGGTGCGAACATTTTAGAGTATTAACGAGTATAAATATTCATTTTAAAGAAAATGACGAATATTGTATAACAAATGCTGAAAAGATGTGTGCATATACTAATTGGCTATAAAGAGCTTCAAAACTCGAAAGTGATCACCATTAATTAAAGTAGAACTTTAGAAAAAGTAAATGAAACTAAAATGCAAGAATTGAAACGACATTTAGAGCACTAAATGTAGAGATAAAGTAGAAAAGGACCATATAGTGGCAGAGATTTTAAAAAACTATATCTCATGAATAGCTGTGAATCAATAAATTTTTCCACTATTCAAGGAGTGGGATTTCAATATTGAAATATTACTGCCTTGGAGACTAATGCATCGGAGAAATGATGATTTTTTGGTGAATCTGAAGTGGCTAAGCCACTATGATCTGACTCAACGCCGCCACTTCCGCCTATGGAAACACTGCTGTTGATGCTCATGCTACTGACACCACCACCACTACTACTACTTATGATGATTTTTGGGAGCTAAACTGATTTGTCGATGGCTATAGTGCAGAGATGCTCAATTAGTGAAAGAAGTGTCAAATTCATCATCTTACGTTGGTTTAACTGCCAAAATGGAGGGAGGGAGAGTTTTGCTAAATCTTTGAAAGGTTGAGGATGTAGTGCTAAACAAAATTAGGGGTGGATTAGCAAATATTGCAAAGGCCGGAGACAAAAAAAGTACCAATTTTTGAAAAAAATAATGGTTTTACAAGAATGCCTTTTGCTTTTGTTTTGAAAAATTGGGGACTGAACAACTAATTCAAAGCAGAAAAACACAAGAATGCTATTTGTTATATAAAAAAAACTGCTCTTATGTCTTGAAAAGTAAGTTTATGAATAGGTGAAAATGTTTTAGCATAATTTATTTTCAAAGTCTCTCTTATGTCCCAATATTTTATAAATTAAAAGTACTTTTGAAAACCAATTTAGAAGACAATCACTTTCTCAGTGAAGAAGTAAAAGAAAACTTGATCAATATAAATGTCCACCCACAACTGAATGATTTTAATAAAGCAAAATATTAATGTACGACGTGCAAGTTGCTGATTGCATGCTTGATTAAGAGATCAATATAAGTCCATCCAACATTACTCAAGTATGGAAAGTTAAAATGAGCAGATAACAAACATTTTCCATTGTACATGTCTAAAAAGGCGATTGTTAGGTTTTTAGAAGTAGCCTCTGGGTGCGAACATTTCAGTGTATTAAAGAGTATAAATTTTCCTTTTAAAGAAAATGATGAATATTGTATACCAAATGTTGAAAAGATATGTGCGTGTATTAATTGGCTATAAAGAGCTTTAAAACTTGGTAGAGATCACCATTAATTAAACCAGAAATTTCAGAAGAATTAAAGAAACTAAAATGTATGAAGTGAAACAACGTTTACAACATTAAATGCAGAGCTAGAGTAGAAAAAAGACAATATAACAATAGATATCTTAAAAAATAATTTATCTAACGGATAGGCCATTCAGGGGAAAGGGGTGGTCTTAATAGCTGTAAATTAAGGAATTGTTGGGAGTGGGATTTTTGAAGTGATGGTTTTTTGTGAATTAGAAGTGGCTGACCATCGTGACCTGACCCAACGCCGCCACTTCCCCCTATGGAAACACTGTTGTTGTTGATGCTAATGCTAGTACTTACGATGATTTATAGGACGCAGAATTCATTTCTCAATGGTTTTGATTGAAGCCATGTTTGGAGGTGACAAATTATTGAAAGAAGGGTCAAATTAATCATTTTATGTTGTTTAACTGCCAAAATGGAGGAGGAAAAGTTTTCCTAAATTGTATTTATTACAGTAGCCACATTTTCCTTAGTTGAGTCATCACCAGGTGTCTCTGGAAATTAGCTACTTAGGGATAACCAACTTTCTCATGTCTGAGAACAATTCTCAAATTGTAGTACCAATTAAAAAGATTTAATTTGGTTGTTGGCATCCAGTATGCCTTTCAAAAATACATGGTTACTCACGATTCAATAAATATAAATGACGAAAAAGAAAAGAATAATATATAAAATGCATTAATTAATTTCATATGGACTTTTATTAAATTAATTATGCTCCCACTATTTAATTCAAATTTATGACCCTCTCACATAAATTTATGGAATCTATACTTAACTCTCAGTGGGCCTGGATTCTATTATACCAAGACTTTGAGTGTACTCAATAAGTCTTAATATAACATTTGTGATGCGAACCCCGTAGCAATGGAAACTACGAAACCCACAACGAGACTGATACAGAACCCAAGAACGCCAATACTAACCGGTTTTGGATCTTGAACCCCAAGAATTGAACCAAGAAACCCTAGATTAGCGAAGAACCTAAAACCCCCTGATTACAATTAAAAGAACACACAATCCGATTGATTAGAACGCCACAAGAAGTTGAATCTTGATAAGTTCCAAGATTGTTCAAAAAGAACAATAAATTGAAAGAACAATTCTCTCTCTATAATATTAAGCAAAAGTCAAAAGTTCAAAGTTGTTACAATGAAAAGTAATCTCCTATTTATACTAATGAATAAAAACGTCCAAAACCATCAAATTATGGTAATGATTTGATTTCATAAGAATTCTATCAAAACTAGGAAATTCGGCCAAAAATAGAAAATTCTCCAATTTTTTTGGCTTGTGCGGCCGCATGGTGTAAATCCATGC